TAAAGGTCCACAGCACCTCCCACATCATCACCCTGGCCACTAAGCCTTGAACACAGGCACCTTTGGGGAATGCTGGTCCAGACCATGGCTCTCACCCTCTGCGTTACTCTCAGACCCATTTCTGCTATGTGGAGATCACACCCATTTCTGTGACTCAGTATGAGAGTAATTTAGATGCTCACAGGGCTGCTGACATGGGCCTAATCTACCCCAGTGACCGAAATAGATGGCTCAAGACCCCAGTTTATCTCAGAGCCACTTCAAAAAATTTACTTAACTGCTTTCAGAACAAAAGAGCACCCAGAACTCTCTGGTCATCTCCGTGAATTTCCAGAAAACTGTAAAACGGACTACATTTCCCCCATTGGATTAAAGCTATAACCGGAGCCTCTGTTACTGACCAAGGACTTGCAAGTGAATAAGTCATAGCTATTACCAATAACATGTTGACATAAAGGCAGACACACAGCCACAAATCTCTATAATCATTTAGAATTGCCAAAATTATCTCCCTGTTGGTAAACATTTACTCCAAGCTTCGTTTATACATGGAGTTCCAATGTTCCCTAAAGAATATCTGTAACACAAAAGCATGCAAAGCTATTAGGTCATAAAGATAGTGATTCCAATCAAATGCTAATGATCATAAATGTTAAGCAGTCATAATGCCCTCTTACAATTTGGAAGATTTTGAGACAATTTGGATTTTACAAATCTTTTCAAAAGGTATCCAGGGAAACTTAAATCACTGTCTCTTTTCATCTTAATAAATTTCTTCCTAGCCAAAAATAAAAAAAGAACTTATTTCAAAGTATGTAGTAGTCTCCAAGCTGCAATCAAGGAGAGGACTATCCTCAGAGACAGCTGTGTGGCGTGTAAGGACTTGGAAAGCTCAGGGAGGACTTTATTTGTAAAAATTTGGAAGGAAGATATCTTGGTTATGTGCTTGATGTTTCCGTCCCCACCTCTCCACCCTCATTCTAATGAATCCTCTGAACCGTCACTTGTACCATCACCGGAGGCTGAACATAAGCCGTGGGGACACAGTCCCACTGCCCGTGTTTGGTGGTGGAACTGGTCACCCTGCTCCAAAAGGTGGGGCTTCGCTGTGCCTCAGAGCAATGAAAAGAGAAGTCCAGGCAAGGTTGTGATGAGGCTGCCTCAGGTGGGGAGGGTAGAGGACAGAAGTGATCTAGCATCTCCAGGGCTTCCAACCTGAGTGGGGAAAGGTTTTATAGACTGTTTTCCTCCATTGGAAATTGCAATATGAAGATGAGGTAGACACTTCTAAAACATCAAAGGAAGGTTGGAAATTGTTTGCAAAACCAATTTTACTAAATATGCGTGTTGACATTGGGTTGTTGAGAAAGAATATTAAACTGGGCCCCCAAAAAATCAGTGCAGAGGAAATAGGCATCACAAATTTTAATGGCTTTTTTCCTGATTGCAGAGTAATTTATAAACATTGTAGAAAATTAATAAAAGAATGAAGAAAAATCAATATCAACTCAAATTTCACTACCCAGAAATGGCCATAATTTATATAGACATATAACACAGATATACAGATATATATGTGTATATCCTTTCTATTTTTGCATTATCCTAAATAATAAAGGTATGCATGTAATATGCACATAGTTTCAGCTAGCATTCTAAGTACTTCAGATATATTATCTTAGTTCATTCTTGCTAAAAATCATAAGTTAAGTGTTATTATTATCTCCATTTAATACCAAGGAAATTGAAGCTTAGAGAGGCCAAAAGCATATAAATAGCTATAGGAAAAGCTAAGTTCTGAACTCTGACATAAATCATCTCAAAACCAACTTCAAACCAAAATTACTCAAAGAGTGGTCCTTGGCCCAGTGCTTGATCCATGAACTGTATATTTCTGGTCCATGCTCAGATAAACACAGAAACTGAAGACAAGAACTTAGAAACCTTTGTAGCAATTTCACATAGTCATGTACATAGTCAGTGATTCCTATCAATGGAGAGGGTTTGGGGTGTCCAAGTGGCATGTGAGTTGTATGTGGTGTGAATTGCATACCAGACATGCAGGAGGATATGTGCTGGTCTGCAGAGAATTGGAAGGTTTTGGGGGAAACATCTGGTTCCTCTCCAGAAAGAGCTTCAAGAGCATTTCTCTAAACCACTATTCTGTTTCCCGGGAATGAAAACAATGAAATAAATGTAGCAAAGTAGAATGTTAAGAGATAGGAAATGAAAAGATAGAAGTGCTAAGAGATAGATATGAAGTTCAGCTCCATGATTAGCTTTGTTGCCATGAACTTGCTCATTTGTGACCAGTGACTTTTGGCAATCTTTGCTCCACACAGTCATAAGCAGAACTGGTGAAGATGTGCCATGCAGAGCTAGAAATGAGACAGGACAAACCTCTGATGGTCTTTTCCATTCACACTACGACAGACCCTACCAGCTGTCCTTCACTTGCCCTTCTTCCATAACAGATTCTCAACTGAGCACACAGGGGCCCAGAATAAGTAGGTGCTTTCTGCTTCTCTTGCAGCTATGTTGCTGCTTGACAGCATCCTGACAAAGGTATATGAACAGAAGTATCATGGGGCGGCTTTCATGAACTTCACTCTTTCTTCTTTATCTCTTGCTCCAGTCTATTTCTTGGAACCTGTGCACTATAGGCCAGGAAAAAAAGGGTTTCACTTTAACAATGATAAAAGAAAAATATAGAATGACCTGAATTTCTAAGGACTTTAGGGGTTAACCACAGGCAAAACAGCGCTGGTTGTCTGCTTGAACTTGCACAAGAACAAGAAAAGCTGTTTTGAATGAGCCACTGAATTTGGGTTTATTGTTCCTTGCATTTGAACATAACTCAAACTAATGTGTCCATGCAACCAAAACCATTACTGGTCCCTTGGTCTTTCTGCAGTTCTCCTGGGTCTGCTTTGTCAAGCCTGGTGGGGAGACTGGGAAGAGCTTATGTATAGGCACACAGACTCCATCTGAAGCAGGAGAGGTGGATGAGAACCGCAAAGGGATACTTTACAAGAAACTGACTTGGAGCCAATGAGCTCTCTCCATTGTCCAGTGTTTTGGGCTAACAAACCTGCAGGTGAACACTTTGATGAATGCTGTCTTTCCTTTGAGGATTAACCCATCTGGCATTTACATTAGAGATAGTATTTCATTAAGCATGTTTGCCAAGTTTCTGTGTCCGTGGCCATTTCCTGTTGCCCTTGGCTACACCAGTATGGTACTGGAGATGGATTATATCAGTTATTCAATGGTCATTACTAAAAATGAAAATATATTCTAAAAATTAAAATGTGGAATATTCAAATATATAAACTACAATTTAGCAAATTATGCCAGAAACAAAAGCAATAAAAAACATACTCATAACTCATCACTTCCTAATTTTGTTTTTTATCTTCTATCATCATTATGCTCTTGAGATTTTTTTCATTTCTTGTGTATACATAGCTAAAATGCTCTATTGCAGTGTGTCATTCACATCCCTCCTGACTCTGCTTTCAGCAGCATGATGGTGATGTCTTGAATGTGGCCACAGTGGGAACAGGTATTGATTGGGTTTCTACCATGATAGAGAATGTAGGGCCGGAAAAGGAATAAAGTTCTTTATCCCTTAGGAGTTTTCAATTTCATTGAAATGTCATAAGAAGTGAAATAAAAATGTATATCTGTTGAAGAACTAACGCTGAACTCAGCTCAAAGGCAAGATAGCCAGAATCTGTTCTCAGATTTGAAATCAGTGGTAGGACCATGGGTAAATCTCTTAAATTCTTGGATACAGGTTCTTTATCTGAAAAATCCCAGTGGACTCCAAACTCCTCCAAGGGAAGACCCTGCCTACTTTATTTACCACTATATCCCAACCCTCTACCATAGTCCCAGAAATATAACCGGGGACTGGGAAGGCATGAGGCACAGCCACACAGATTTCATCACATAGGAGGTGACAAAGCAATACTTGTCAAAGGAATGAGTGGGCAGGGAAAACATGATGTCCAGCAACTTGTGGAAAGTAGAGATCCATCAGCTGAACCAAGGCCAAGAAGCAGTAAAGACTGAGCACCAAGGACCGACAGAATTGGCCAGCTTCCTCAGATGCCACATGAAGAGGGCATCATGGTGGACTGGATAAAGTTGGCAAGCCAAGAAGTCTGAGTCAGAGCTCAAAATGACAGTCATCCTTCTCTGCTCTCTGTTACCTGGTTCCAAACTGCCTTTCATCCAGACTGATGAGACTGTCAAAATCCCAGCCAAAAAATGAAGCCTCCACTAGCTCCTCTGTCGCCTCCAACTCACTGTGGAGCTCACTCCCATATCCCTCCCAACATCTCTTGCTGATAATTCCAGAAACATTTAGAGCTACCGCCTGGGTGTATTTTTCCCCCCTTTGGCTAAACTACAATTTTGCTATTTACGAAAGTTAACAAATGGAATGCAAATGTGCCCCTTACTTTTCCATATTGTCACCACTCTCGTTCTGATTTGGAAGGGGAAATGTTGCATCTGTGAGAACATTCAAATTTAATGTAAAATTGAATAGGAAAAACAAGGGTTCTCTGAGTTACCGAAGGTGCAGAAACACAGTAGCTTATGAATCTATCCCAACTATGATCTACTTCTTTGCACAATCCTCACACCCTGTACTTCCCATACACACAAACAGCTCCTTCTTCAGAGACAATAGAAAGGCAAGACCATCATCTCTTTGTACTTATCTAACATTCTAAGTTTCTCTGTGGAAAAGTTCAAAGTATTCAGTGGTAGGTCAGAATTTCAGATAATTATTCTTTCTCGTTGAATTTTTTAAAAGATGGCATTGACTGAAAGGACTAGGCTTTTCTGCGTGGAAAGATGAGAACGGAGATGGACGATTATGACCTCACAAATGATGAAGGGTATGCAGCGAGGAGAGATAGACTGGCTCCCTGAATCCTGCCGTACCAGAGCTAAAGGGATATAGTAAGAATCAAAGGCGGTGCCTGTCTGCACATCTGTTTCAAATTGCCCAGCTTGCTGGAGGGGATCTTGGCAATCCCAGGATCCCACAAGTTGCTGAGGGCCGGGGGAAGCCCTCAGAATTCCCTCTCTACCATCTGAGCCACATTGGGCGATTTAGCCTCTTTGAGCCTCGGTTTGCTCAAATGCAAAATCATGATGGAGTCTATATGAAAGGATCACCATGAGGACTAAAGAAGAGAAATAGCCCCAGGTGGTGCCTTACCATTGCGTGTGTGCTCATAGATGCCAGCCCTCCTTGCACTTCGGACTTGCCTTTTCTCCCCAGCCAGTAACTCAAACGTGTTATTATCCATCTAGATCCCATCGTTCCCAAGAAGGCGCAGCTGGAAATGCTGCATGGCTGGAGTGAGGTCGGAGGAGTTCAGTTAGATTAGTAAGTGGTAGGTGAAGTTTGGGCGTTCTCACACACTCAGGCTCTGGGTGGGATCCCACTTCTAAAGCTGGCAGATGGCAGGACAGGCCAGTGACAGACACAGGAGAGCCATTCTACTGCTCTGTTTGATCCCATTGGGCCCTTTCAGGCTTCTGCAGGGCCCCCTGCTCCTCTATTCCTCATTAATACAAACTTCCCAGATCCTTTACTAGTTGCCTGGATAGCTAATATACTGCATTAATTCCAGTTAAAATGTTAATGGGCAATCCCTGGTACCAAAAAAAAAAGTTAATGGGCAGTAATGACTTAATTTGTTGCCACTCCCATAGGAACACCTACATTTTAACCCAAGCATTCAATGACTTCGTCTAAAGAGACGGTTATGGTGGGACTCTCCATTTCTTGTGAAATCCAACACAGAAAAGGGATTTGCAGAGGGTTTGAGAGGAGGAAGGGGCTCTGTGAGGACCGTGTGGCAGTTTGCATCACCAGCCTGACATGTGCTGCCAGCCCAACCATTCTTCCTCTTTCCATATTCCAGGAACAAGCACATTTTTTGAGAGATAGCAAAGATCACTGTTAAAGCAGATGACCCAAGAGGATTCCAAGGAAAAGGCTCAGAGACAGTAGCTGCAGTCAACACCAGGTCCTCATCACCCTCTCATTGGCTCCCACTGCAGGAAGACCCTCTGCGTTACTTTGCGAGCTCCATCCGCAGCAGGTACACTAGATGGAGTGTTCTGGGGGCGTGGGTACGAGGGTTCCTCTATAAAGGAAATACACAGTTTACCCTGTCCTGGCCATCCAGAACGACTCTCCCCTGGTGGATGCAAAGGATCGTGAGCACCAAGGATGAAAACACGAGGCACCTAACGGAAAGCTGAAATCATTTCTTTTGCTTGTAACAGTGAAGTCTGTCTGACTTGGTGAACGTAGGCTCACGGTAATACCTTGATGACATCCTGAATACCAGGAGCGTAGCTGTCTGAAAGGCAGAGAGCAGGGCAGAAAGACGCCAGTGGGTTTCCTTCTGGCTCTTTTGGGTGATCTTAATAATCAATTACAAGTTAGGCAGGAGGACCTGGCTCTGCTGTAGCTCACATCCCACGTTACAATTGGTTACTTGATTATCCTCCTCCTGAACTGTGAGCCACTAGAGGGCAGGAAATGAGGTATCTCTTGGTATCTCCAGCCTCTTGCACAGAATCTGGCACAAGGATGTTATGTACTATTATAGCTCTTCACACCAGAGAAACTATTTGGTATTTACACATGTGTGACTTATTTATTTCACTTAGGAGTATATCCTCAATATGTATCTATTTTCCTATGAATGAAACATGTGTAAATACCAAATAATTTCTCTGGTGTGAAAAGCTATAATAGTACATAAGATCCTAATGAGATAATTGACCATGTGAAATAGGAAGAAAAGGGCTAAAGGTGTAGGGAAAGTGGGAAGGGTAGGGGAAAGGTAATAAGGGAAAAGAAAAAATATGAGAAAATGAGAAAATGGAAATAAAGTGTTTGTAAATGGGGAGGGGAGGAGAGGAGGGGGTGAAGGGAGGGCAGGGACAGGGGGAAAAATGAGAACCAAGACCTGTCATGTAAAGGTACAAGATCCCGATAATGGATGTAATTGTATTGTATACCTAAAATGTACCAATAAACTCAATAAAAGAAAAGAAAAGAATCTGTCACAAGGGAGATGCACAATAAACATTACGGAGGGATGGAGCAGCTGAGGTAGTGACCTGCTGGATCCAGTTATTCTGTTCTCACCCCTCCCTATCAGCTATCCAGCCACTCCTCTCAGAAAAGTAACACAAAATGACAACATCTTACACCTCCTGGGCCACAGGTCAAGCAAGATAGCAGGAAAGAACTAGGCACTGAGAAAACTTGGAGACAGGCTGGCCAGACCACATGGGCAGGCAAACTGATGGGAAACCCTCTTTGGTGTCTTGTCCCTGCCTCTCACTGACAGGAAGAGATGTCTGGCATTGTGCGCCACATGGGTCTCACCCCTCCTGCCCCCCAAGATGTGTTAAGGAGCAAAGAGGCATGGGCTTTGCAGGGGCTGGGAAGGAAAGGAAGTGCTGTGCTGCCAGCTGGGAGTTTCTCTGGGGAACAGACATCTTGCTCCTGTCACAAGGACAGGATGATGCACACCCTTCTGTGAGTGGTCCTGCTCCGCAAGCAGGGTGATGAGAACCCCTCCTGCAGAGGTGAGCTCATCCTGCCTCCCAGCGCTGTGCCAGCGAAGTCCAGCTGACCCCCAGCTTAGAAGCCCCCCTCCTGCTCTCCTTCCTACACAAAGTCAGAAGCACTCTGAGCACAGGTAACACTCTGCTGGAAAAAGGAAAAAGCCCTCTTATGTCCCCCTGTATCCCTGGCTATTTTTGGTTGCTACCAGCCCTCTTGGGGACACCACCAACCTGTTACTCCCACTCACCTGCAGGTGCTGGCCAGGCAGTTAGGACGTTCGAGTAGCTTCTCAGCTAAGACTCTTCCCCCCACATAAAACCTCTAGGACCCTTTCATAAACCAGATCCTCATTTCTGGAAAGTTACATTTCTCGATTTCAGGAATTGTTTCAACTGGAGCCAAGGGGGGAAAAACTTAAAAAAAAAAAAAAAAGGGTAATTATTCAATTCCAGTAAACTTGATGGGGCCCTTCCCACCCCAGGCTAGGGGTTGGTGCAAAATGTAATTTGAGCTCAATTGTCTAAGGCTGGAGAAGAATAAAATGTTCTGCTTGGGGACATTACCCCTCGTGGGAGCCATATTTTTCTAGAAGGCCTTTGACCAAGATAGGAAAGAGGTACTGATTTTGCTTAAGGACGGCAAGAGCTGGGGGTTAGGGGGAGACCACCCTGAGTCAGCACCGCCAGGACAGAGGCAGCGTGGGCACTGAGTCCGCCACTGTAGGTACCACCAGTCCAGTGCCCCCCCCCAAGTTCCCAACCAGGACTTCCACCCCAGTGCTAACTCGGAGCTCCGGGCTATAAATGGCCCAAGGCTACTGCCTGGAGGAGGTGGTTTTCGCGGGCTCAGCACGTCTCCCACAAATTGCAGTCAGCATCCCCACCGAAGTTGGCCTGTTACGGGCATTTCTTCCCCTCCCTTCTTTCCCCTCTCCTAATTCGCCAACTGCTGAAACGTCTGCCCGGCGGAAACCGCCTTCCCGCCGCGCGCTGGGGGCCGTCCCCAGGTGTTGGTCTTTGTGTCGGGAAAACTTTGCGAGGGAGCGAGGGCGCTGGACAAAGAGCGGGCGAGGAGGGAGTCTGCCAGCCTTCGGGCGCGCCTGGCACTGCGCGCGCTTCCCTTGCTCAGCCCGCCCGCTCCCCAGTGGCGCTCGGGGCACTGAGCCCAGCC